TCAGAACCGGGAGGTCCAGGGTTCAATCCCCGGGCCGGGTAGAGAGGGGTTAGAGTGTCATGAATAAAACAACTCGTACCTGTTTCAAGTATAGAGCAAAATGTCGGTGACCTAAAATTACGCTTCCTCACGCGCTAAGCTACGGCAGCCCCGCTGCACACCAAGTCGGGATTGTCCTGCTCCCTCCATGTCTGAAATCTCTTCCTCGTCGCACAAGTGTGTGTGTTGTGTCTGAGGGACTGTTTGTGAACAGCGCTCTCTTACAGATCCCCTCAAGGATTGTGCATGTGCTATTTCTGAAATATAAGACTGACTTTAGAAAATGCTTTGCTATGCCTAATCAAAGTGAATCTATTACCTGACGACAGGCATGTAGCTCTCGTGTCCCGTCGTCCTCATCAGGCGAGTACTTGAGTTTTACACAAGCGTAATGTATCACGTAGTACTGTGACTGTAATTTAACGGTCAGGATACTGTTATTCATACAATTTTCATGCGTACTACCCTTCCGTACCTAATCTTGCGCAATACATACTTGATTTGCATACAAGATGCTGCCGGAAGCTTTTCACACTCGTCGCGGAAGCGCAAGCACGACCGCTGATAGCGGAGTGTTTGGTCAGAAATCAATTCTCTCTACAATACCTTCCACTCATGCCGAGTGTCAGCCGCTCCTGACCGGCGCGCCAGCACCCCAAGTTTTCGTTCACCCGGTCGAGTGTGCGTCAGTCACGAGCCGCTTGCTATTACAGTGGGTCACTCCATCGATCGTGCTCGCTAATCGGCCACTCGCTCAGAGATCGCGAAGCTTACCGTCATATCAGTCGCAAATCCATCAGCGGCAGCGTCGAGGCCAAGAATTTTCAAAACGCGGCCTGGAGCAGGGGGACGTCTGGGAGCTTCCCTCGCACAATTGCGCCGAGCATGATGCCAACGTTTTGCAGTGCGCCTGGATCAGCTCTGGATCTTTGTTACTAGCCTGTAGCAAAGTGCACGGCGTAAAGTTTCTATGGCTCGGAGTGTTGTACGGTCTGGAACAAGTCTTTAATTTAGTTGAACCTTACGTGTTGTTTCGAAGTGTGTTGCTACTGCAGGAGCAAGAAGAGGAAATTGGAAACGAAATCAAATCAAGACGTGATTTTTTACTTTGGATCTCAACACTTCTTTCATGCCGTTTTCTGCGCTCGCTTCTGTCCGTATATGTGCGCGCAGAATTACAGACATTAATGCTGCGTCTTACGGCAGCGCTACAGAGCCTCGTATTGCAAAAGGCACTGCGGCTTTCAAATAGCATACTTCGAGAGGCTGACGCGCTCTATGTAGCTGATGTGAAGCAATTTCTCAAAGGCGCTGCGTGTTTGCACGAAGTTTGGGCATCCTTGTTGTTGTTGGCATTGCTTTTGATTTTAATTGCGCAGTTTCTTGGAGATGCAGCATTTGGGGCCACTTTCGGCGCAATGATCGTGACACTTGCGAGCTCACAAGTACTCAAATCGTTGCAATTGCGATCGAAAGAACGGGTACGAAAAATGCGAAAAAACCGACAAAGTTCAGCAAATGAAATGGTACTTGCCATGGCTGCTGTGAAATTACATGCATGGGAATTTGCAGCAAACGCGCGTGTGAGTGCTTCCAGAATGCGGGAAGTGGCGGCCCTGTGGCGTTTTCACTCACGAATTGCCATTGAAGCTGCCTTTTATTACACCACGCCAATATTCGTCGCTACAACAGCACTGGCCATTGGTTCCCAAACCTCTACGCATTTGCTTAATCCTACATCAGCATTCTTCGTTATGACGCTCATGCTTCTCATCCGCACTCCACTTCGATCTCTTCCTGAGGCGTTGCTCGGTGCTCGTGCTGCTTGGCTTTCACTTTCTAATCTGTCACACTTCATGGGCCAAGAAGAAATGAATCCGTATGCAGTCGCTCGACGGGATAGTTTGCCGTTAGTAGCCAAGTATGACGCACAAGAAGTCGTTGTTGCCGTCAAAAATGCAACACTGGGCTGGACGACAAGTGGTCCTGTGATCTTCCAGCACTTAAATGTGACGATGGGTGCTGGGGAGCTACTAGTTGTTCATGGACGCCCCGGAAGCGGAAAGTCTTCCTTTCTCTCAGCTCTTCTTGGTGAAATGCAATTACGTGATGGGAATAATGGTCAAATATACGTCGGTGGTTCCGTTGCTTTCTGCCCCCAACAGCCGTGGCTACAACAGAAGCTTTCAGTGCGTGACAATATACTATTTGGCTTGCCGTTAGACCATTGTAAATACCAGCACGTGCTTGATGCGTGTGATCTCGTTAATGTTTTAAAGTTGTTACCGGCCGGTGATCATACGCTGGTTGAAAAATGGAAAGCAACTACAGGACAACAAGCTCTTATAAGCTTGGCGCGTGCTTGCTATAGTGATGCTGATATTTATTTACTAGACGACCCGTTGGCTCACGTCCGTCCGAGATCTGTAGCGCGCAATTTTTTTTCGCGTTGCGTACTGGGACTTTTGCGAAACAAGACAAGAATTATTGTGACTTCTAATATAGACTTTGTCGACTCTGATTTCGTGAACAATATCGTTCGCCTTGAAGACGGCGGTCGGCTAGTGCGTACACGGGATGTATATGAAGCTTCGTGGCGTGAAAAGCAACAAGGAGTCGAAGAAAGTGATATAGAAAGAACAGTATTCGCCGAAAAAAATTGGGAGCATGGTGATGAAATATCTTGTCCTTCTGAACTATCATATACCCCTGCCGAAGACTCGCCCGATATTGAACAGTTGTCTATGGAGAATATTGTCAACACAAGTCGCATCTCGCTGATTGAGCGACCTTTGCGAGAGTATCTTTCATGTGAATCGACAGCAGAGGCCGAATGGTGCAAATGGAAATGGCCATTTAAATCAATTTATGTTTATGCTCAACTCATTGGTGGCATTCGTCTTGCATCAGTGCTTATTTTTCTTTTCATGTTGTGGCGAGCACTTCTGTTGATCGGTAAAGTGTGGGTTGTTTACTGGATACAGTCAAGTAACCAGAAAGACTTGGGGATCATACTAATTTCGTTGTCAGTGGGGGCTGGGCTGTTAACACTAAGTTACGCATTAGGTGTTGCCTGGATAGCAATGTTAGGATCACGTCGTGCCTTTTCATCGCTCGTGTCGGCTTTTCTTCAAGCTCCGTTGGTATTTTTTGATATTTATGGGGCTGGAAGTGGTAGAGCCCGGTCCAAACGTATTAGTCAAAATAAGAGACGTGAACTTGAGCGGGTATTTACAAATGAAGATCTCTCAGTCCTGGATACGAGACTCCCTCTCGCCGTTAATGCTATATCGGCTATCGGAGCTTCAATTTTGTTAGCATTTCTAACAATAACGGTGGTAACAAGGTACTTCATAGTGTTACTGATACCTATATTTTACATGTATCTTCAAGCTGCCGGACTGTATCTGCGACCTGCACGTGACGTGCTTCATTTAGAGCGCCGAGCGCGACAGGCTGCGCGTATGTATGCACTTGAGATGCTTGCAGGAGCTCGCGTTGTTCGGGCCTATGGGCTGGCGCATGTGCATCGCGTTCTGGGTCACCATTTCTGGTTACTGGATATTGCTGCTCGAGATGCTCATTTGGGTCTGCACATCGATTTGTGGTTAATGTTGCGAGTTCAATTATGTGGTACTATCATGGTTGGATTTGTAGCAGCTTTATCCTTCTTGTCCTTACAACATAGACAAAATGCTGGTCTATTTACTTTAGCGCTTTATGAAGCGCTGGCGGTTAACAATGGCGCGCTTGAAGCACTTGTGCGTGCTTGGGCTTGGCTCAGCCCAATTCTACCAGTTGCTGCTCGAGTTCAAGCTGCTGTAAGAGGTGCGGAAGTCATCGTCGAAAGCGCAACTAACTCGATTGCCACCGCGAGACGCGAATTTCCGCTTCTTACACCAAGTGAGGTCTATCCATCGTTAGCTTGGCCCACGAAGGGTGATTTACGCTTTGATGCCGTCACTTTTCGCGATCCTGCTGCTGCGATTGTTGACGAGCTCACCGACATGTTTGAGCTTGGTGATGGTGGAGCTCCTCCTCTAGCTCTTAAATCTGTTTCGTTTCGAGTACAGTCTGGTGAAAAAGTGGCCATTCTTGAGTCGTCAATTGCCTCTCCAGTTTCTTCAGTTGGTCGGGCATTGCTGCGCTTGCACGAGCTAACGGCTGGACGAATTGTAGTGGATGGTGTCGATGTGGCTACTTTAGGTCTGAGTACCCTTCGCTCTCGTATTGCGTGCGTGTCTGCAGCACCACCAAATGCTGCATTATATGATGGATCAGTCCGTTCGCAGCTTAATCCTAATCGCGCTGACATTGCAGATAAACATTTGTGGTCTGCTTTGCGCGCAGTTAGGCTTGAAAACGATGTGATTTCACTAGACGATCCGTTTCCAGGTGTCTCAGCCTTAGCGCGAAACCCATCAAAGCGTCTTCTGTTAAGCCTTGCTCGTGCTTTGCTGAGCGAATCATCCGTTGTGGTGCTTGCTATAGCTCCTGTGCTGATGACAACCCCAGTGGACAACTATCAAATGCAACCGGAGCTGCATTTTGCTCCGAATGACGCTACTTTTGAGATAATGCAACAAGTGGTGAATGAGGAGCTGTGTGATGCAACTGTGCTACTATTAATACCGTCTGTCAAGGATTTTTCACGCCACAATCAAAATTTGAGAAGAATTCTTATGAATGTTGTAGACCGTACACTTGTCGTGGTTAATGGCGAAATGGCTGAGATTGGGGCCATTACAGACATTCCTGCGTTTATTTCATATGCAGATCAATCGAGTACTTATTCCGAAGCTCCAATAATTTCATATGCAGATCAATCGAGTACTTATTCCGAGGCTCCAAGTCGGTTGGAGTTGTCCGATTTGGAACAGTTCAGTGAGCATAAAAGCTTATTGGCGCTACCGGACCTCCAGGAGCATTATGTAGATGAAGGCGAGTCTTCTGCAAGTGGCGAGTTTGTGATGGTGACGTCTGCAGCTGACTTAGAGACCGATAGGTTTGTAGAGAATGTGGAAATAAAATTTCAAGTCTGTTTGTGATTGACCACTGCCCAAGCGTCGCCGTTGCGAGCGATCAGTGCATTTAAGATCCCAGTACGCGTTACTTTGATGCAAACACAACTTTGTGTTTACTATAGCTTGACGAAGGGCAAAACGAAAATGAAACATCTAAATTATAGTACAAATATTGCGCTAAAACAAGGGAGGCCCTTCGTCACCTCAGGGTGTGATGTACGACTTAATCTGTTGCACAGTTACTTGGAGGCGTAAGTTATTTATATGCCAGCGTGCAAACAATCAAAAGACTTAATCGAGCGATAAGCATGTCATTTGCGTTTCTTCTACGAAAATCTGTTTAAATACAATATTCGCCATGTATACGCTCTCTTCCATCTCTGGATATTCAGTTAATCCAGTTTATCTTGTGCCTTGTGGATGTTCATTGCAAAAGGTACTGTACAGAAAATGTTTACGATGAAGGTGAAATGATGATCACGCAAATCAATCACAATCCTTTAAAAGCACATACCAGCCTTGGCGCTAATTTTTAATAAAATTGCATGAATCACATGATCAACAACGTGCGGTTGAGTCCCGTTGATAATAGTAGTATAAAGTGCCCCGCTATCAAATAAATACAGTTATCGTCTTTGATAGATTATCGATTAACATCATGAGACTGCTGCCCAGCCTCATTTTTTCCACGCACTTTAGCGTTTATTTTGGTCGACGTGGTGCGGCTAACAAACTATTTATTCGTTGCATTTCTGAATTGTTGGTATTTGCGTAGTTGTTTCGATGAAAGAATTCAATATGGTCGAGGCTACG